GTATGGATGCTTGCCTATAAATAGGAATGTATCTAATCTTATTTTATACATCATAAAGGAGCAAGAATAGAGAGAGAAGAGTAATTCCATAAAGTTGTGAGATATTTGTGAGAGGGCAAGTGATGTGATTTCTCTTAGTAATAGAGAGATTTTAGTTGTTCTCTTATTAGTAGAGAGGTTGCAGCTCTTACATTACTTCGTAAAATTCTTCTATACTTGCTCGTGAATGAAGCCAAATTTAGGTAAACCACATAAATTCTTATGTCTTATTTCTCATGTTATTCTATCCCGTACTTTTTATCTTGTCAGGTTTGCATACCAGTATCCTAACTACTATTTCACGAACAAAGTGATATTGAACATCTATGTTTTTGGATCTTGAATGAAACGCTGGATCCCTTGCAATATGCAAAGTATTCTAACTATCACAATACAAAAGAATCTTTTCTTGTTTGTGCCCGAGCTTCTCTATAAGTTTGTTCATCTATATTGCTTCTTTACAAGCTTGTTTAGCTGCTATTTATTTATTTGCTGTTGTGGATAACGTTGCAACAGTCTGATGTTTAGAGACCCAGCTCATAGCTCCTATTGCAATTATGAACACATAGCTATTAGGATATTAACATGCAAACCTGATAAGATAAAAAGCAAGGGATATGATAAAATGAGAAATGATACATAAGAATTTACGTGGTTCACCTAAATTTGGCTACGTCAATGGGCAAGTATAGAAGGATTTTACTAAATAATGTGGGAATTACAGTCTCTACTAATTGGAGAACAACTGAAAAATCTTTATTACTAGGAGAAAATATCTCACTTACTCTCTCATAAATACCTCACAACTTTGTAAAATTACTCTCCTTTATCATTCACTTACTCTCTCATAAATACCTCATAACTTTATAAAATTACTCTCCTTTATCCTATGATGTACAAAATAAGCTTTGATGTATTGTCTATTTATAGGCAATCATCCATGCAAAACGATAAGAGGCACTAATTGGTGCTACAAGTGGCACTAATTAGTGTTGTAAGTGACACTAATTGACACCAATTAGTGCTGCAATGGCAACACAAATTAGTGCATACCTAGCTAGCTTCACATTCTCCCCCTTGAAGACTTTGATGATTTAATCAAGTCTCTACACTTGATCATTTGTGTATTTATTATCTTTATATTGTTTACGTTTCAATTAAGCTATAAGAGGATTTGCATCATATATACTTGTCAATGTTAACTGGTTTAGTTATAGCATCTATTGAGTTTTTTTGTGTGAACTTTCTGAAAATCCACCACTTCGCGAACAAAGTGATATTAAATATCTATGTGTTTTGTTCTTGAATGAAACGTTGGATTCCTTGCAATATACAAAACACTCTAATTATCACAATACAAAATAATCTTTTCTTGTTTGTGCCCGAGCTCCTTTATAAGTTTCTCAATCCATATTGCTTATTTATAAGCTTGTGTAGTTGTTATATACTCAGCTTCTGTTATGGATAATGCTAGAACAGTCTGAGTTTAGAGACTCAGCTCACAACTTCTCTTGCAATTATGAACATATAGCTTGTAGTGGATTTTCTTTTCTCAAGGTGACCAGCAAAATCTGAATCAACATAACCTCTAATAGTAAATTCTAATTCTTTATAATATAATGTGGCATCTAAGGTACCTTTGATGTATCTTAAGATCCTCTTAATAGTATTTCAATGCTCTCTACCAAAATTTGTCATGTATCGACTAACTACTCTCACTACTTGTGTAATGTCTGATCTTGTACATATCATGACAAATATTAAACTTTCAACTACTGATGCATATGGTACTTGAGACATCTTTAATCTCTTTGATATGATCAACACCTTTGCCTCATGATGTGTTTCTCTCATTAACACATGTAAGTTTGCAACTATCTTTCTTGGCTTTAAAACTATCAGCGCTTATTTGACAATTTTCATGACTGCATTGTCCGTTTGAATCTTACAGCAAAGATTATCAAATTATCCTACAGATAAAAGATTTTTTTAAGCCTTTCACATGTCACATTTCCAAAATAGAGTGAATTGAGCCATAATACATGTTCATTGTGATGGTGTTAATGTTAGCAATCTCTAAAGCATGATCATTACCAATGAATAATGAGCCTTTAAAGATGAGTTCAGATGTATGATACCAATCTTGATTAGGAATCATATGTCATGTTGCTCCTGAATCTTTTAATCAAATCTCAGTGAGCTTTTTTTACCTGTAGAGACTGTTATTACTTCACTATATAAAACTTCTCCATCTTCTGAAATGCTTACAACACATCCTTGAGGTTTTGATGACTCTAAAGTGTTTTCTATACCCTTTTTAAACCAAAAATCCTTTTTGAAGTGTCTTTTTATGCCATAGTTATAGTATTTCACATTCTTACTTCTTGATTTGGACATTCTCTGCATTTGACTCCTATTAGAGTCACACCTCGTTGATCTTCCTCTTGACATCAACAACACTTTTACCTGGTTTGAACTGTTTTTTTTTTTGCCTATTTTTTTCTTCCAAGATAGCGGCTGCAACATCATCAAAGACTAAATAGTCTAAAAGGATATTATTGGTTAAGTTGATAATGAACTCATCATATAAATTAGAAAGACTTTGAAGTAGAAGCTCTGCACATTCATTTTTCTCTATTTGTTGACCCAATGTAGTGAATTGTGAAAATAGAGTTCTTATTGTGTTGATGTAGTCAGTCACGAACGTGGTTTCTGCCCTTTTGAAGGGTATAAAGTCTCTGCTTTAATAAAATCTTATTATACAAAGATTTAGACTCGTATAACCTTGTTAGAGTATCTTATATCTCTTTAGTTGTTTTCTTTTTTGCCACACGTGATAATACTTTATCAATTAATGCTAAATATATGTTAGCAATAGCATTGCCATCCATCTCATTCCATTTCGCATTATCAGTGATCTCCACTGGTTGATCCCTAATTGCTGCCAAGCAATTGTCTTTCCTTAAGATTGCCTTGATTCTCATTTTTTACAGTAAGAAATTGCTCCTCTTGAACCTCTCAATATCGTACTTTGTTGTCATTTTATTCACCATGATTTATTCAGCTATCATCATTTCATTGATCTACAACATATACATAAATAGTATCGTGTGAATAATACTTCACTAAGTTCCAACGAAAGATTGGAGTGATCACAAACGGTTCTACTTAAAACTCAATCTTTTTAGACTGAACTTTCTAGATTGTATTTAATCACCGCACTAACTTTCTATATACACCAACAGTAACATATCTGAACAGTACCGTATTGATGAATATTGTCGAACAGTAACATATGTGAACAGTACCGTATTGATGAATATTGTTGTAAATGTGAATAGTAACCATATAGACGAATAACTTTCCTGTGTTAACAATACCAACCAGAAATGTTTTAATATAATTGTTAGGATACTGACATGCAAATCCGACAAAATAAAAAGTAAGGGATAGAATAAAATGAGACATAAGAATTTATATGGTTCACCCAAATTTGACTATGTCTACGGGCAAGTATAACAAGATTTTACTAAGTAATGTGAGAATTATAATCTCTTCGCTAACAGGAGAATAATTGAAACCTCTCTATTACTAGGAAAAAACACCTTACTTACTCTTTTATAAATATCTCACAACTTTGTAAAATTACTCTTATGATATATAAAATAAGCTTGGATGCATTGCCTATTTATATGCAAGTATCCATGTAAAAAGACAAGAAACATTAATTGGTGTTACAAGTGGCACCAATTAGTGCTACAATGTCATTAATTGACATTAATTAGTGTTGTAAGTGGCATCACAAATTAGTGTTTGTCTAGTTGGTTTCATATGCTCTCACTTGAAGACTTTGATGATTTAATCAAGTCTTTACACTTAATCATTTGTGATTTTTCTATTCTCTGTGTACTTGTCATCTTTATGCTGCTTACGTTTCTATTAGGTCATAAGAGGATCTGTACTATATGTACTTGTCACTGTTAATTGGTTTGGTCATAACATTTGCTGGGTTTTTCTTTGTGTGAACCTTCTGAAAATTCACATTTCCACTTTCCACCACTTCGTGAATGAGGTAACATTGAACATCTATGTGTTTTGTTCCTGAATGAAACACTGGATTCCTTGCAATATGCAAAACACTTTGACTATCACAATCCAAAAGAATTTTTTCTTGTTTGTGCCTGAGCTTATCCATGAGTTTTTTCATTCATATTACTTTTTTACAAGCTTGTGTAGCGATCATATACTCAGATTTTGTTGTGGATAATGCTACAACAATCTGAAGTTTAAAAACCTAAATCACAGCTCCTCCTACAATTATGAATATATAGCCTGTAGTGGATTTTCTTTTCTCAAGTTACCAGTAAAATCTGAATCAACATAACCTCTAACAGTAAATTTTGATCCTTCATAACATAATGCGGCTACTTGCAGCACTAATTGGGGCCACTTGTAGCACCAATTAGCGTCTTTTATTTTTTTGCATGGATGCTTGTCTATAAATAGACAATGAATCCAAGCTTATTTTGTACATTATAAGAGAGCAAGAAGAGAAAAAGAAAAAAGTGTAATTTCACAAAGTTGTAAGGTATTTGTGAGAGAGTAAATGAGGTATTTTCTACTAATAATAGAGAGATTTCGGTTATTCTCCTATTAGTAGAGAGATGTTGTAATTTTCACATTACTTAATAAAATTCTTTTATACTTACCTGTAGATGTTGCCAAATATGAGTGAACTATATAAATTTTTATTTCTTATTTCTCATTTTATCATATTCCTTGTGTTTTATATTTTGCCGAGTTTGCATGCTAGTATTCTAATAACTTTTATCTTTATGAAGAATATCTTGAATCAAATTATCTCATTAAGCTATAAGTAGTGATTTTCTTGACTCTCCAGGTGTAGAGTTTCTTGAATCTAAAAAAAAAAAGTGATTTTCTTGCATTTTTTTTGTGTGCAGATGACGCCAGGTCCATATATTTTGCTGCCAAAATTCTGTTTCATCAATCAATGCTTTAATCCATGTGATAGATACTGTTGTATGTTGAAAAATCACAAAGTCGAAGCAGTGAACCACTCAGATTTTTGTAAATCAACCTGGAATTGAAGCTTCAGCATGCCCTACACAGTAAGGGCACCTTTCTAAGAATGATGTCAATCTCTCTTCTGCCAATTGTATTCATGTTCTGAGTTGTTGATCAGGTAGTGATAGGAAATCAGCTAAATCATTCGAGTGTCAATTCTTGCTTGATTTGTATGAAGGGAACCACATTGCTTGTCCAACCTTGCATGGACGCCAACTCTTTGTAATGCCAAAGTGAAACGTTTCTGTCTTCTTTTCATATTGGTTTGAAGATGGAAATCTAATGAAAAAACCACCTTCCCTGCTTATATAGCTATCTAAGTGCCAAGCCCATCAGCTATCAGTAATGTAAATTTTACTGAAATCACTTTCAGAAGAATCTCAAGCACTGAATAAGTGGATTCTACTGGTGGATTTTATAAATTCAAAGATTAAAATCCGTGGTTGTCAGACCGTTTAATAGCTTGGGTTTCTGAACTGTAGAGTCAATTCGAGTCAACTCTAAAACAATGTTGTTCCACTGTAGTGATATTTTAGTTTTTTTTTTAAATGAAATTATATTTTAAACAAAAAATAAAAATAAAATAAAATGATATTATTTTAAATAAAAATTAAAAAAATCATTAGAGTTAATTTTATTGTCTTATTTGATCAGTTAAGTTACGAGTTGACTGTTCAATTTACATGGAAAAAAAAACTTGGTTTAGGGTCTTATTTATTTGCTGGAAAATAGTTTTTTTTTGAAAAGTGAATTATGATAAAGTGAATTATTTTTTGATATTTAGTAATATAATATAAAATAAGTTAAGAAATATTTTTGAATGTTTAGTTATATAATAGAAAATGAGTTACAAAATAACTTATTAATGTTTTATTTTTTTTCAAGTTTATTAAAATAACGAGGAATAAATCTTACAAATTAAAAAGTTGAATAAAAATGAAATTGAAAAAAATATAATTTTATAAATTATTTCAAATAAAATAAATAATAATCAAAATAATAAAGATCAAATCTAACAAACAAAAAAAACTAATAGATGAAGAAATTAAAATAAGAATAATAATTATTTCATAAATTATTTTAAATAAAATAAATAACAATCAAAAAAATGAGGATCAAATTTAATACATAAAATTTTTTGAATTAAAAATAATAATTAAAGAAAAGCAAATAAAAATTATAAAAATAAAAACCAAAGTTAATATAAAAATTAAATTATACGGAATAAAATTTAAAAAATAAACAAAATATAAATAGTAATCAAAAGTTTGATAATCAAATTTGATATAATCAACAAATAATATAACATTTCTAAATTTTTCACAACTTTTGAAAATATTTTTTACCCAAAATAAAAAAAATATTTTCTTGAAAATCAAATTAAATTTTTTTACTGAAAAATATTTTATATCAACTAATTTTCTAATAATAAATAAATATGAAAACGTTTGAAAGTAATTTTAAAAAATATTTTTTTATTAAACCAACATCCCTATATCAAATTTTAGATATTGGATAAGCCTAATTTAATAATTATATTCAAATTCACCAAAGAATTATTTAATTTCAAGGATTAAAATACTTGAGGAATTGATTTCAAAAAAAATATTGTGGTAAGATTAGCATTGCTCAACCACATCAATGAAAATCGGCCGATATGTTTATGCCCAAAACATCACATAAACATACAAGCCAAACAAGATCTTCCTGGCCAAACTATCTAGGTGGTGGTCAAGTGGTAAAAATTTGAGATTAAGAGGTTTGCTCCTTTTGTGATCTCAGGTTCGAATCCTTGGTTGCTTATATGATGGCCACTGGAGACTTACATGGCGCATAAGCTGGCCCGGACACCCATGTTAATCTAAAAAAAAAAAATCTCCCTACCCATTGGAGCCCGGAGAACCCTACATTGTTACCCTCTTGCTTGTAATGAACAACATGTCAGTTTTCCTACACGACACCTAATTCGCAATTGGACAACTTGTGTCCCTCAGTTGTAGGAGAAGCTATCGTTTTCCCCTTCTTAAGCCTCACTCTCCAAACTGTTCAAAATCGCTCCTGCAATTCTGTTCACGCATTGTTTGCTTAGATGTATCTCAGTAAATGAGGTCCTTAAAGGATGGACTGATACGCCATGTCCGATCCATAAAGTCTGGTTTCACACTACCAATCTTAACCTCAAATCAACTTGTTCATTTATACTCTAAGCATTGCCTTATAAATGAAGCCCAGAAACTGTTCGATGAAATGCCTCAAAGAAACACTTACTCCTGGAACACTATAATATCTGCCCACATAAAATCCCAAAACTTAGCACAAGCAAAATCTATTTTTGATTCTGCTTCTGTTAGGGATTTGGTCACTTATAATTCTATGTTATCGGGTTATGGTACTGTGGATGGATATGAAAGAAATGCCCTTGAATTGTTTGTTGAAATGCAAAGTAAAAGAAATGAGATTGAGATTGATGATCTTACTATTACAAGCATGGTTAACTTGTTTGCTAAGTTATGTAATTCGTGTTATGGGAGACAATTGCATTCATATATGGTGAAAACCGGTAATGATAGAAGTGGGTTTGTTGTGAGTTCTTTGATTGACATGTATTCTAAATGTGGGTGTTTTAAAGAGGCTTGTCAGGTATTTAAAGGTTGTGAAAGAGAAGGAGGTTTTGATTTGGTCTCAAAGAATGCGATGGTGGCAGCGTATTGTAGAGAAGGGGATATGGAAATGGCTTTGAGGTTGTTTTGGAGGGAAAGTGAGTTGAATGATTCGGTGTCATGGAATACATTGATTTCGGGTTATGTTCAAAATGGTTATCCAGTGGAGGCACTGAAGTTGTTTGTGTGTATGGGGGAGAATGGTGTTAAATGGAATGAACATACTTTTGGTAGTGTTTTAAATGCTTGTGCTTATTTAAGGAACTTGAAGATTGGCAAGGAAATGCATGCTTGGATTTTGAAGAATGGACTGGGTTCGAGTGTTTTTGTAGGAAGTGGCATTGTTGATGTTTACTGCAAGTGTGGGAATATGAAGTATGCCGAGTCATTGCATTTGACAAGGGGGGTAAGAAGTTCCTTTTCCATCACTTCAATGGTTGTGGGGTATTCGTCACAAGGAAACATGGTGGAAGCTTGTAGGCTTTTTGATTCTTTGAAAGAGAAGAATTCTATTGCTTGGGCTGCATTATTTAGTGGTTATGTCAAATTGAAGCAATGTGAAGCTTTTTTTGAACATCTACGAGAGTATATAGCCAAGGAAGCTGCGATTCCTTATGCTTCGATCCTTATCAGTGCATTTAACGTGTGTGCATTCCAAGCTGCCCTTGGTCCTGGGAAGCAAATCCATGGTTATGTATTCAGAATGGGGATTGAAATGGACATGAAGACGACTACAGCTATGATTGATATGTACTCAAAATGTGGAAGTATACCATACGCAGAAAAACTGTTCCTGAAAGTTATTGAAAGAGATTTAGTCCTTTACAATGTTATGCTTGCTGGTTATGCTCATCACGGGCATGAGATTAAAGCTATAAGTTTGTTTCAGGAAATGTTGGAGAGAGGAGTTGGACCAGATGCCGTTACTTTTGTTGCACTTCTGTCAGCTTGCCGTCACCGTGGATTGGTTGATTTGGGTGAAAAAACATTTTATTCCATGACAGAAGATTATCACATACTGCCTGATACTGATCACTATGCATGCATGATTGATCTTTATGGAAGGGCTAACCAACTAGAAAAGATGGTACTGTTCATGCAAAGAATTCCTATGGAGCATCAGGATGCTGCTGTCGTTGGGGCATTTTTTAATGCATGCAGGCTAAATAAAAACACAGAATTAGCAAAAGAGGCAGAGGAGAAACTGTTAAATATTGAAGGTGATAGTGGAGCTCGTTATGTGCAGTTGGCTAATGTTTATGCTGCAGAAGGGAACTGGGCTGAGATGGGGAGGATTAGGAGGGAGATGAGAGGAAAGGAGGCCAAGAAGTTTGCTGGTTGCAGCTGGGTATACTTGGATAATGGAGTCCATTCATTTACCTCTGGTGATAGAACCCATACAAAAGCAGAGTCTATCTATTCGATGCTGGAGTTCTTGATGGCTGAATTATATGAAATCGCTGGGGCATTCCGTTAGATAACGTTTTGAATGTTGGCATGCCAACATGGTTCAAAAGCTTGCACAGCCTGCAATGAGGATGAGAGTTGGAGACTTTCGAGTAGCCGAAGATGTTTAGCAGGTATATTGAAATATTCAAAAGCTAGTCAGTCTATCGTGAGTGCACTTCATGATTGTCTTTATTGGGAAAGATGAGAAGATCATGTTCTAATTCCAAAGGCCCTTTCTGGTATGTGCATACGGCAGTGTCAGATTTCTCACGTGATGCTTTATCTCCTTAGTGCATTGGTCAACGATGTCTTACGACCAGAGTCATATCAATCTTAATAGTCATGCAAGATTGTTTTGTGCTTCAAAGAACCGTTTTTTTTTTTTTTCAGATACAATAACATGTAGGAGTTTAATTAATTTTGGTGGTTCTAAAACAGGATGAATAACTGAAGCTTTTGAGGAGAACTGTTACTGAAGCCAAAGCAAACATCCAGACAAAGAAATGCTGTAGAGCAAGATGTGTAGAAGCAACCATCGCAACTGTTCTGTTTCTAGGACTCGAAATTCTTCCAAGCCCAAGGTCAATTCTCCCAAGGATTTTGAACAGCACATTTAGGCTATCCTTCCCACATACTGTGTGCATTTTGTAAACTGGAAGTGTGGTAAAATGCTTCGTCAAGGAGTTATGCCACAATTTTAGCATGGTTTCGTAATGCTTCAGCAACACTACCTTGTTTTTTGAGGTTTTTATGCTTCAGTAACACCACCTTGTTTTTTGAGATTTTTATAGATAAATCCTTTGATCTGGCCCAAAATTCTTTCATTAACTGATGTGCCTCCAGAATATCTCGTCTTCCACATTTTTTTATGTGAATGATGAATACCTCAAAGCCAAAGAAGAAGAAAAGGAAGGCAGCTGAAGAGTGATGCTGAGAGCGATAATGAAGAGATTGATAATCCTTTAGACTCTGCTGATCTATCTCTTGAAGCGGGAACCAGTTTTACCGTGATGATTTGGAACAAGTTGTGAATGAAGATGATGACTGACTTGGCTTGTGATGTCGGTTATGCAGATGGGAAACATCTCGACACCATTGATAACAGAGACGGTGAAATTGGGAGTGCAAATGATGGTTTCAGTGGTTTTGACGAACGAAATAGATGACTGGAGGCGCATCCACATTTGCAGGTCGTGAGTACGAGTATTAACTAAACGAATATTAGAGAATTATAATTATATAAATCATTTGTTTCTCTATTAAATAAAATGATTTTTTAACATGATATAATGGTATATATTTACTAAAAAACTAAGTATTAAATAATATAAATTTATATAAATTTTAAATTTAAAACTTTTAAAGAATTATATAAATTATATCTTATAAATTTATCTAAAAATTTAAATTATTGAGTTGGATTAATTTTTTGATATATATTAAAAATTTAATTAAATTAATAGTTTAAATTTTTAGATGAAATAGATGAAATTTTAAGGTATAATTTTTTAATATGAAATTGTTTTTTTTTTTTTAAAGAGAGAGAGAGTAAAAAATAGAACAAGTGTAAATCACGAAAGAAGTAAAAGCCGTCTGAACGAGAACCTCCTTAACAATGCTGGCTTATGTGCTGTTTGGAACCTTCAAAAAGATCATAGTAGTGTTGTTGTATAGCAGTGATTTTTTTTTTTTTGTCCACCTTGGAAATTGAAAACTGATGCTGAGTTATAAGCGAGGTCATGCTTAATTAGGCAAGTTTGGTCGGTGGAGCAAGATAATGACAGAATCGGTACAGCAAGGTATGTATATTGTATACTATTGTTACTCGCCTTTTCTTTTCTTCCTGAATATTATTCCTTCAATCACGCGAATCAATTGACTGGTAGGGAAACTGATATTTTCTTCCTGAATATTATTCCTTCAATCTTTGACTGGTAGGGAAACTGACAAATAGTTGCTCTTCTGGGTTCTCAGAAACGCCATCTCCGTTGTGCTCTGCAGAACCTGAAAATTTTAAGCCTTCTTTTAAATTGTGCCATAGATTTCAACCTTGAATGCTGTTCGGGGAAGTGAAAAAAAAAAGATTAAAGTGTTAGAAAATAATATAAATTATATTTTATAATTTTATTTAATAATTTAAATTTTTATATTAAAATAATTATTTGATATCATATTAAAATTTTAATAAGTAAATGTTGAATTATATTTTAAAAAATATATTAAAAAATAATATAAATTATATTCTAAAACCTTATCTAATAACTTAAACTTCTAAGTTAGGATAGGTTTTTTATATAAAAAATATTTAATAATAAGTTAATTATTATTTTTAGTTTAAAAATATATTATCTTTTTATTTTTTAAAAATTATTTTTAATATTAAAATATTAATATAATTTAAAACTATATAAAAAAATAATTTAAAAAAAATCATCTAAAATACAGTTTGTACAGCCCTTAGACATTGTCTTGTAGTGGGAAAATGAGTTGAAGGGATATTTGTGTAAATTAAAATAATTGGCGTCGCCCGGGCTCGAACCGGAGACCTTCAGTGTGTTAGACTGACGTGATAACCAACTACACCACGACACCTCTTACTTTTTGAATTTACTGTAACTTAATTAGTTCAATTTCATTTTCCTCTTCTGCATTGAATTTCATTCGCGTATACACTCTTGTCTCTGCAAATCGAATTCCATGGATTTTCCAGGAGAGCTAAGAATTCACACTTCTAAACACTTTTCTGCTCTCTAATACTTTCGCAGTCACTGACTTGTATTTATTTGCATCCGCTACTCTCTGTCTCGTTTCAACACTTGATTTTCTCTTAAAGCAGGCTCAAATGATTAACAAATAATGATCAAAATTCACTGTGTCTTTCTATTCTTGTTTGAATGTATAAACCTAATTTGATTTCCCAAAAAAACATGAATTCTCTTGTCTTGTTAAAGAAACACATGTAAGAAAAGAAAAAGAAAAAAAAACCAGGAAAAATTATTAAAGGAGGCGCTGCTGCTGCTGCTCTTTGTTGCTGTCTTTCTTCTAGGTTGGGTTGCGACTGCTTCTTTCACCGCTTACTTCCAACACCGTTGTCCGTACAGCATGGTTATATCTTGTAATTAAGGTTCTTTTAACGTTTTATGTTTTCGTGATGAATGAGTGAATAATATAAATATATGGTGTATGCAACTGTTCTGTTGGGATTTGCCTTTCCAGTTTACTCAACTCTTAAAGCCCTTGAAAAGAAAGATCAAATGGAGCAGCAGCGCTGGCTTCTCTGTTGGGCAGGTTGGTGCTGACCTTCTTTCATATATATATATATATATATATAGCATTCATTTATACAGGTCTTATTTATGTAAGTATGAGTTTTTTTTGAAAAAGTATGAATCTGTTGTTTAATTTTAGTTTATAAATCAATAATTTTTTTTTTTTTGATTGTTTAATTTTAGTTTATAAATCAATAAATTTATATATATATAAATCAGGGTTTTGTAATTACTTGTTGATATAATAAAAAAAAATATGATTTTGTAAATTATGTAGATGAAATTGTTTTTCATGAATCTATGCATTGATATAATATGTATATATGGAGCATGCTTTAATTAAATTTAAATTTCTAGTCTTAGATTTTTCTAAGAATGAAAAAACAAGTTTGATGCTATTGATTTTGAAAATAAAGCAATCATGATGTGCTTAACATGAAGTGATCATGTCAATAAATAGAGTGCTAAGAATGATGATATGATTTATATCTTTGGTAACAATAAAGAATGTTCTTGTCAATAAATAGAGTGCCAAGAATGATGATATGATTTATATCTTTGATAACAATAAAGAATGTTCTAAGAGAAATATCATTGTTGAAAATAGAGGCTTGAGTTTTGCTTGCAACATGCAATTTTAAATTATTAGCAATAAAGAGTTTTTCAGAGGTATTTTGTAAAAATATTTTTCTACACCTATGTCAAATAAAACGATAGTGTCAAGTTTGAAATCTTCTGAAAAAATAAGAGTAATTTTAATCAAATATTTTTTTAAAGATATTTGTGTTAATACATTCAGAAAATCATTTTAAATATGCTCAATACTTGTAAGTGTACGAGGCAATGTATGAGATTCAATGAGTTGATCTTCTGGCTCAGACTTAGTGTCAGACTAGTTTTCAATCTTGAATAGAAGATGTTGTAATATGACAGAGTCTTTTTATTAGGTTTTTAAGATTTGATTAATATGACAGAGTCTTTTTATTAGGTTTGTTTTAAGATTTGTAATTCTGATTTATGAGTCTTGATCTCATAATATAATTCTAGAATGGTGACTATAGTTTTGGATTTCTTTCTGTTAAGAATCTTTGTAAGGTCATAGGTATTAGTGCTAGTAGAGGATAATATAGTGCTGTTTGAAAGGTTATAATGAGGGTGTTTTGGTTAGTTGAAATTTTATAACAGTTTTTCTAAGTAGGTTTTTGAATATGAGGATCATCAAGTTTTTTAATAGCCTCAAGGATGAATTCTTGATCTTGGGTTAGGACGTTAATTTGTTTGGAATTCGTAGAGGCATATGAAGTAACACTAGTAGTTGCTATTTCATCAATTTAAAATTCTTCTTTAGAAGTGTCTAAAGAAGAGTGGTCAATGCTTGTGGCTGTAATATAAAGATTTTTATTTGGTTGATGGTATCTTCATCTATTTGGAGCTCATAAAGTTTGGTATTGATCTTGTAGAAACGGGATGTATGTCCTTTTTGGTTACATTTGTAACAGGTAATATTTTTAGGGTTAAATTTTAGTTTGGGTTTTGACTGGAAAGGTCTGTGGGGTTTGTTAAATTTGTAGGGTTTTTTGTAGTAAGATTGGTTTGGTTTGGGAGAAAATTGTTGTCGGTATTTATAGGCCGATCGTTTGTGAGGCTTTTGGTTTGAATATTTTTTTGGTTAAGAACAGGTTTCATTACAAGAGGGTTTTTTTGTGGAAAGGTCAAACTGGTGACAAAAACTACCAAGTTTTTATCTAGTGCGTTTCATTTCCCACTTTATGTGTTTTTGGAGTTTAAGATCTTGGCAAATCTTAAGACCTTCTTTTTATGTAAAGCTCACAAGTTCACCGTATGTAAACTGGTCATATGGTATGGTTTTGGTTTCAAAGGTATCCTTGATTTTATTTTGAACCTTTTCTATTAAGAGAATCAGTAAGCCTACGAGGAATTTTTCTTTTCAAAAAAGCTGGTTTGAATCTTCTTGAAACATAACACAAGTAAGAAAAGTATCTTTGTACCACTGAAATTGAGTTTTTTGCACCAAAGATTGAAAAAAAATTTAACATTTTTATCTTTCAGATGAAAAAGATCTCCGACAAAATGTAAGGATATGATAAGGATAAGGGTGAGCACAACATCTTGGATGATGTTTCTTGAAGAGTTAATGATAGGTGTTTGGTCTTTATAGATTTGTATAGAGTTTAAAATATATAAGTGGTCTGTTTTAGTAAGATAGTTATCCCACCATCCTTTAAGTTGGTCAGAGAAACCTGTAATAAGAAGTTCAACTATGGTTTTGTCTGAGGTTCCTATTTGGGTTTTGTAGGTATTAGCTATCATGGTCATTTGTTGAAGGGTGTTTAGGATATTATATTCAGACATGTCATCTATGTGCTATTCATAAAAAAAAGATGCATTATATTTATGCTGGTTAATGGCAGTTGGTTTAGTAGATATGGATATGTCTGAAGCAATAATTGTTTTGGGAGCTGGCCATATGAGTTTGTTTAGTTGAAGAGGTTGATTTTGAAAAGTATCTGTAAAGGTTGATATGAGATTATTTTGGAGAGTATTAACTTGATTTGTAGAGAATGAAGGATTGGATTGTTGAGGGGTGTCTGAGACAGTTAAGGTTGTCCGGTCAAAGTTTTATAAATGTAATTTAATGTCTTTAAGAAAATCTATTTGATTTTCTTGAATTTGAGGCTTGGTTTGTTTTAATAACATATATATATATATATATATAATTAAAAAAAATTGCTAATAAAAGGGTTAATGCCAACTTTTTTACTAGTGATGGTGCTGCTGATTCAACTTCACTCTTATTATTAGTATTATTATTTTCATTATTATTATTATTATTATTATTATCATAATAAACTATTATCATTACCATTATTACTAACATTATCATTATCGTTAGTAGTAGTATTAATAATATTATTAGTATCATTATCATTATTACTATAATTATTAAAATAACAAGAATTATAAACTTGTTATGAAGGAAAAAAAACTAAAAACCATAAAGACTATGACAAAAAGGCAAATGAAACAATTAAAAAATCTAAAGAAAATGACCAAATTAAAATAAATATTATTATTATAAAAAAATTATAAGTTTGTTTTGAAAGATAAAATTAAAAACTTTGATAAAAGAGCCAAGAAAAAAAATAAAAACTCAAAAGTAGAATGAAAAAAAAATCATATACAAAAATTAAAATTAAAGGACTAAATTATATATATAAAGAATAATAATGAAATAAGAAACTAAAAGAATGAGGATTGAAATAAAAAAAAAACATATGAGAAATTATAATTGAATGACTATATTGAAAAAAAAAACTTCTATTAACGAAATGAGAATGAAATAAGAAATTAATAGAATGAGGACTAAAATTAAAAATTAAAAAAATAAAGACAAAATAATCCACTTTAGTTGTTAGGAGAGAGAAAAAAAAAAGATAAACGATCATCGATGATAATCTGACCAACACAAGTCTATATGCACCACACTATATAGAAGAGGAGATGAATGCTCATTTAATGAGATGACAAATTACTAGATTTAGCCACCAAGTAATGTTACATATATCACTCACATGTTTACACATTTGGAACAAGAACCAACATATTTCTAAATAAAGAATTGAAAAGAAAAGGTGAAAAATATCAAAGCGCTCTTATGAACCTATTAATTATACAAAATACTCGTGTGAAAATATGAAAATATTTATAAAATAAATTTTTTTTTTAATTTTTCTATGGTTAAAAATGTGTTTTCACTATACACGGATTGTGAAAAAACCATTAACACCTCTACCCAGCAACTCAACAATTTTTTAATCTCGAGGGCAAAGAAGTATTTTTATTGTTAAAAAACTTATGAAAAATCAAGAAAGACCTTGGTCAATAATTATAAATTTTATTGATTGTAGAGATAAAAATACATTTTTACTTTATAAAAGAATGGAAAAGATGCTTTATTTCCTAAACAATCTTTTAATGTCTAATGTACTAGTGGAAAAGACCAACAAACCCTCAATTTTAAAGCTCAAGTTTTTCCCACTCAAGAATAAATAAGTAATTTCATTATAACAATTCATACTAAACTACGTATAAAACTCTCATGCCTTTTAGGTTTTTTTTTAATGTGCATAAAATAAAAAATACTCTTATGACTAAATAATAATAACAAGAAAATTCTTATGAAATTACAACCAAGCGCTTAAAACCAGGGTTAAAAAATTTGAATGAAAAAAATAATAAAGTAATTTAACTATTCATAAAATTATAAAAAAACAAAAATCCCTCTCTAAATAAATAACAATAAAAAAAAATTGTTAGGAAATGATAATCAAGCTTCTAAAACGAAAGCTAACAAATTTGCATAGTAAAGGCATATATCTAATTCAAATGTTAATCATAAAATTAAAATCACCATGGAGTCTCTGCACCAAAAATTCTGATTGTTTACTATATAGTAATTGCACTGTTATTAAAAAATAAAAAGATAATGTTCTCTCCAAACAAATAAAAAATAAATACAATCACACCTCCCAAGTAGAACTTTAAAACACCTTACAAGGCCACAACCATCTTGGCTAGGATGAATAGGAGCTGCGTCATCATCCTAGACAATCCTTGTCATATGTCCATGTTGGAAATTTTGCTCCTCTGGCGGAGCAACTTTTATGGCATTGTATTACAGGTGTGCGAATGTGGCTTTCCCTTACAGATGGTTTTTGTCACAGGATAATAATTTTTCGCTACACCAATAAACCCATGCGGCAGCTTAGTCCCTCGCTAAACTCAGTCTTCCCTCGTCTATCTATTCGTATTTGCCTATTAACTAAGTGTTTCCCTCACCTGAGAGGTTTCCCTATTTTCCCATGTTAAAAGACAAGCGGAATACACAAGTAGAATTACTCTTCACCGAGCATACCGAGAATACAAGAATACCTCTCAACCTTTATTTATCTCATCAATAAAGGATTACACAACGTGTGCTATGCACAGAATTCACATGCTACACCATACATTATTTCATCTCTATGCATTCTATTTTCTATGTATTCTCTCTATACAACAAAGAGTTACAGTTACTATATATAGCCAAATATGTGAGCTGCAGGGCACCCCCCATGATCCCCATATTTCAGGATATAGTGGGGCACTTACTCCCCCATGATCTTTATGATCTTTAGTGGCTCACCCATATCCCTATTTTCCAGGATATAGTGGAGAACTTCCTCCCCTATGTGCTCCATGATTTCAGCAACTTGGAAACACCCCAGTTATGCTCTCACTTTCTGCATGCTTGCCTGGCAACCCCATCTGCCAGCTCTAGCTTCATCTGCTGTTGAATCACCCACATGCCTTGGACAGTCCCTCGTCCAAGTTTTAGATCTTGCCAAGTCAAGCCCCTGACTTGCGTAAGCTGTTGTGCACTACCGAGTGCGCACCCTGGGTACCAAGCTACCAAATCCTGCAATGCCGAATTCGCATTTGCGTGCAGGCCCCCCATGTCTGTGCTGTCAAATTCGCATCTGCGTGTAGGCTGCCCAATCTTGTGTTGCTGAATTCGCCTCTACGTGCAGGCCCCCAATGTCTGTGCCGTCGAATTCACATCTGCGTGTAGGCTACCCAATCTTGTGCTGCTGAATTCGTCTCTGCGTGCAAGCCCCCAATGTTTGCGCTGCTGAATTCGCATTTGCGTGTAGGCTGCCCAACTGTGTGCAGGATGTCAATTCTTGTGCTGCCAAATTCCCATTTAATCTTGTGCTGCTGAATTCGTCTCTGCGTGCAAGCCCCCAATGTTTGCGCTGCTGAATTCGCATTTGCGTGTAGGCTGCCCAACTGTGTGCAGGATGTCAATTCTTGTGCTGCCAAATTCCCATTTGCGCGCAGGTTCCTAGTGTCTGCGCTGCTGAATTCCTTGACAGCCCCAATTCTCACCTGCCTATGCTCCTGACGAGTTTTCCTGTCTTGGCTTGGACATTCCATCGTCAAGCCCATGTTCATCAACATCTGCGTTGCCGCATTTCTCGACAGCCGCATTTCTCGACAGCCTACACCCTTGACGAGTTTCCTTATCTGGCTTGGACATTCTATCGCCAAACCCATATTCCTCAACAATCTGTGCTGCCACATTTCTTAACAGCCCCAGTTCTCGCCAACCTATGCCCTGGACGAGATTTCCTATCTGGCTTGGACATTCCATCACCAAGCCCATGTTTGTCAACATCCTGCGCTACCACATTTCTCGACATCCCCAGTTCTCGCCAGCCTATGTCTTGGACGAGTTTTCCTGTCTGGCTTGGGCATTCCCATCGCCCAGCCCAACATTCTGCACTGCCGATTTTCCTCCTTGACAAACCTATAGCCACATAAATCTACGCTGTTGATTTATCTCATCGTTAGCATAACTGTCAGCACCCTTAGACCTGGTATTGGACAGCATGCCTAGGCATGCACCCCGTGCACATTTAACACTGTAACAGTTTTCCTTCGATTTGTAGTTGTATCTTGCAAGTAAACATACCATTGTCGTACAGAGAAATGCAAGGCCATTTTGCTATGCATTATCTGTTTATGAATTTCTTATCGGAAAATGAACTTATATTTCAAGATCTTGAACAATGCATCGAGGAGGTCAATTTAGTACCACTGAACTCCCCCGCAGCTCTTCCAGTCTTTCTTGCCACTCCAATCTTACGTCCTCTTAAATGCTCATTCATGTCATGTTGTCTTCGAACTAGTATGCTGGTTTTGAAGACTATTTTTGAAGTTTTTTTTTCTTATATAAAAAAAACACAATTTATTTTTTAATGAATATAAAGTATATATAAGATTTTCTATATGGAGAAGAGTTTTATGAAGTAAGAGAAAACCTCTCATTGCTTCACTGTACACGAGGCAATGTTATTATTTTTTTTTCAACCTTATCTTGAACAAGTATCCTTAGAAAGAATGTCTGGAAAAACCTTGAGTTTTATTGTGAATTTTTTTTTTTTTTTACTTGAGTTTTATTGTGAATTTTTTTTTTTAAAAAAAAAAGAATACCCTCCATTGCTTCTATATACTTCGATTGCCCGTGATTTCTGGTGGTTTCTTCTTATAGGTGCAGGCCCGCAATAAAGATTGTTGAAATTGGGTGTAAGCGATCTTTTGGTTGCTCCGAGGTAGATTGAATTTGCGAGTTAAAGTCCATTAATGGACCCTCTTAGATCATCAAAATAATCACATGGAGTTAATTTCATAAAGAAAATCCGGAGTAGCTTCCTTTTTGACTGCTTTCCACTTCCAAAGTAAACTAATTCTAAATCTCGCAGACTAAATGAAATCATCATTCACTATTCATGCCTCAATAGATAAAATAAAAACTATTTGGATGACAACTAGCACGTTCTTTATATCCAATCCCATCCCCAAATCTTCTGGAGACAAGCTTCAATACATGGTGTATCTATTCTTACAACCTTATAATCCACCAAATTGTAAATTTAAAGCAAATTGAGTGGATTAAGTTTCAAATCTACCGAATTTATTCTGAATGCCTGAATCTTCAGCAAAGATCTGATTTACCTCAACAGAAACAATCATCTCCTGACTTCTATCTCCCGACTTCAAGTAACATACTGGAGTCAGCAGTTTGGTTTTGTTCACTTAGAGTGGTTTCCTCGTCATTGTCGCTTTCAGTCTCAGCATCGGATTCCATGGCTATAAGATCGGAGATTGCGTCTCGCCCATATATCCTGGTTATCTCCTCCTGTTTCATTGATCAATCATATTCTTTCAGTAGCAGCTTATTTAATTTTGATGTTGAGGGAGAAAGGGGGAAAGCGAACAAATGAATGAACTCCAAGTCCCATCAGTAGTGAGTAATAGACTTCATTTGAAAAAGAAAAACCAGAGAAATTAAGAATACGAAAGAAGATGCGTTAAGGGGTGAACCATAATGGATTTATTTTCATCTTTAACTCTTTCACATTTCTTAAGAAGATTGTCCATCTCAGCTTTAAGTTTAGACCACTCAGTTCTCAATCCCACAGCCATTGCTTGTAAATTTTCACATTCTCGCTGCATCACACAAAACACAAAAGCGAAATATTAATTCTAACAAATGACAGTATTCGAATATGGAATCCTAAAGTTGTGATCTAAAGTTATATATAAAAAAATAACAATTCACAACAATTTGTCTTTTATTTTCTTCTCTGTTTTTAGTGACATTCTAAGAAATGGAGATGAGATTAGTGGCTTGCTAGCAAGTTGCTCGCCTACCAAAAAAATCACCTTGCACTAAAATTTGTTGAATACATTAAGCTATCATCATTAAAACTAATGACTGAGTTTTCCAGACTTATATTATTGGTTTCACATAATTTCATGTTTACTACCCGTCTTAGGCCATATTGTATACAAGAAGCGGGAAGTACCGGTGAAATGTAAAACCTGTACTGAACATTGTTAGCAGATAACGTAAGAAGCCAACATAAAAAGCCACCTCCCCCTTGGGTCTGGGATTTTTTCATGTGCCTGACATCCACATAATGTAACATATGAAAGAAGAAAGTTTAGATACTAATTGAAATAAGCGAGGCAAGAGATTTTGACTGATAACGAGGTCAATAATCTGCCAGCGGGTGCATGGATTTTATACAGCAGGCCTGCAACTCTTGCGGGGACAGGGCTCTAGGACCCAAATCCACTCCCCCTGCTTGAAGCTGAGAACAAGATGAGACGAGGTGCCAATAGTTTTACAAGATGGGTGCATAGAAGATGGCATCCACCCTAAGCCCATCCATGATATAACATACAGAACAGCCATGTGGCCAGTAGTGTTCCTATAAACAAAAGGAATGTGTAGATAATGATAGGGATATGAAACGAAGTCCCCTGTATATTAAGTGAAGTTCCAACGAGGCTGACTCGATCGCCATGAAGAGAAAGCAATTTAATCGTTTCTCCTTTCGTCATAGACTGACGCAACTAAACCTCCACAAAAAGATCACTTAAATTCGAAGAGAAGTCTAAAGAAGATCAAGCATTTTATGCTGAAAACATGGATGGAAGCATCTCCAGCTACAAGACACGCCTACTCATTTGTCGACAACCACCACGTTCAGACCATTTAGGCCGTTAAAGGTGCACCGCATTAACAAACACACACTTAAACATGGTCCTCAAGGGAAACCCCTAAATGGCTGGACCATATGAATCTACACGTTCATGAGTGTGTGTTATGTATACATGTTAGAAATAATTCTTTGATAAATCATCTCATTGTTAGACTATTTCATTCAAAATTAAACTGAGAGTGGTTTCATGAACACGAACCTGAGATGAAGAAGTTGATTTGGAACACTTAGCAGGTTTCTTGATACCCTTAGAATCCATTGATTTGAAAGGCTTAGCAATAACAATATTATTTAGCTTGTTCCTTTCCTCAATCGCATAAGAGCCCAATTTACTTCCTGGAAACAGAAACAGGAAAAAAAAACTATTTAGACCAAGAACAGCTGCTAGATAAACTAGTATTGCCAATAATGAACAGAAACTACATAGATTATTATACTACTTTAATCAATTCCTTAATAAGAACCCATAAACCGAAACCTATCCTATGTGAAGAAAAAAATCAGAATCTCCCAAACTTCCATTAAAAATATTAATATATTTATCAAGATTTGTATAATTTAGAATGTCATAAACAGATCTCAAACAATTAAAAAATAAATAAATTATTTAGGTTTTTCGCAAAACAATTTGTTTACGTCGTTGCAAATCAAGCTAAAGAAAAATAAAATTAATTAACAGAAGCAAGCTCACATTAGCATATTAAAATAAACTGAAGCGACCAAGAAAACAGTGTAAAAGAGTGGATTAAGGAGAATAAAATTAATTGAAATACAAAAAACTGAGGTTAATATCAGAGTTAAATGGAGGGGGAGAGAGACGTGACTCGTGAGAAAGTGAGAGCGCGCGAAAGAGGACGGAGAGGGAGGGTAGAGCGGGTATTTACGATTGTTCCTTTCCAATCTAGAGTTCGGATGCTCTCTAAAACTGTTGACGGTTGCGATTGGTTTAATTATAATATCTACGATGGGGAACATCCCAAATTACTCCCCGCATCTAGGTTCCCTAAGTCACATTAATTAATCAATCAAGATTAAGAAGAAAAAAAACTAAAGCGCATGGAGAAATACTGTTAATCCACATCTATAACTCTCTGGATTTTATTTTTCTTTTCGTTTTGATCCTTTTTTTTTCTTTTCAAATTATTCCATATAAATTATATTTAGTTGGATTTATATTTGATAATTTATTTTTTATACTATTGTCTTGATATTAAAAAAGAATTATAACATCAGATTAATGCTTGATTATAAAAAAAAACATTTGTTTTCTTGGATGAAATTTAAAATCAAAGGATCAAAGTTAAAAAAAAAAAAGATAAGTCTTGTCTTTTATTTTTTTTAGTTATTAAGTTTTTTTATATTTTTTAATTTTTAATTTTATCTTTTAATATTGTATTAATTATATTTTATATATATATAACTTGTTTTGATCTATTTTTATATACTCACCGCTATATTAAATAATTGTCCTGGCATCAAGTTAGTAACTGATTTTGCCAGATATAGTTTGAATTCTTTATTTCTTTAAAGATTGAGTCTTGTGGAACTAAAATTAAAAAAAAAACAAAAAAAAAAAAACATTGAAGTGCATAGGGAAGAATAGCATAAGCTAGTCATGAAACCAGAATTAATGAGAAAGAAAAAAAAACAAAGAAAGAAAAAGAAAAGAAGAATGGGTTGTAGGAGTCATACCAAACCTACTGTTTTAATATCCACCATCTTATAAAAAAAAAATTGTGATAATTCTAAGACAAAATCCATTTGAGCTCAAAGGAATTCTTATGCGTCGCATGGAGGCCTTCTTCATGCCAAGGGGCATGTTTCCGAAGGCACTTTCTTTTTTCAATTTAATTTTTTAATTTTTAAAACTTTTTTGATTTAGCTATATTTTTTTTTACTATTTTTTTTTCAATCTTATCTTTTTACATTGAATTAATTAAAAATTAAATTTATAATTTATTACATTTTATTTTGTTTTCTATATGATTTTTACATTCCTAAAAAAAAAACTTGACATTAAGTTAATATTTAATTTTGTGATCATTTATTTTTTAACATATATTTAAATAAAAAAAAGTTAAAAAATCAACTTATTTAACTTTATAAAATCTATAATTTAACTTTCAGGTTTGATGAATTAATTTAAGTTATTTTAGTTCATGTTTAGAAGAATAAATTTTTTTATTTATTTAATTAAACTTGATTTTATGATCATATTTTTTTTTATTATATAGTTAAACAAAATAGTTTTAGAAAAAGTCACGTTATTGAATTTCAGGGAGTTCATGAGTTTGGTGGAATAACCAGTATTGACCTAATTTGTAAGTTTGGCATATTAATTTTTTTTATTTTATTTTTCAATATTATTTTGATTGGAAATTTAACTTCATAATTCATTTTATTTTTTATATGGTGGTCTCAAACAAACATCTTGGTAATTTGTTGGTGCTTGATTTTATAAGTATTTATTTTATATCATAAAATTAATTTTTTTAAAATAAAGTAATTAAACCTAGTTGAGTCCACGATTCAGGATGTAAGTTGATATCAAATATCTCATCATCTCAATATTTTCTTAAAAAGTTATCATCTTGATTTTAAAAAAACTAATCATATTTTTATCGATCATTATAATTGTTTTTGAACATGTGAAGTCAACCAATTTATATCGAGGCAACCTTCATATTATTTAATTTGAAACTCTAGCTCTGCAAAGAATTAAGACATGAGATTTCTAGATTTACATGCTTGATTGGGTTTATTAACATGGCCTAAAATATTCCACGTGACCTTGATATTTATTTTTTACATTTAAAAAACTTTTTGCCTAACTAGTGCTAGAGCGCAAACCAATAGACTTGTTAAATATTTAAATAATGTATTTTTTGATACAAAAGTATTTAAAAATATAATTATGATTTTTAGATTTTTATACTTTAAATAAGTATTTATTAGAATTTTTAAATTTTATAGTTTTTTATAGTTTTTAAATTAGAAAAAAGTTATATTTATTGTGAACTCCTTAAATCACCCCTTCTATTTTGTAAATTTTAAGATATAATGAAAAAAAACATAATCTATGTATATTCGTACATGTTAAATACATTATATATTATTTAAAATTGGTTTAGAACTTTTATTTACATTTGATAACAATACATTATTTAAATTTTATATTCTTTCATTATGATTTAAAGTATCTTTCAATCATATTTTTAAATTAATTATGTATGTAAATTATACATCTTCGCATTTTAATATTTCATATGAGCAATCATGTTCATTGTTCGCATTTTAATATTTCATATGAGCAATGAACGTATAAAAAAGGTTATATATTTTTTTTAATTAGAATTATAATTCTTAAATAAAGCAAATATTGCAAAAATATTACTTTTTCATTATGTATAATATATAAATATAACTTGCTCATTTATTTTTGTACATATGTGAAAATTGTGTGTTTTAGCTGCACATTTTAAATTAATAATATTTATATATTATACATTGTGATAAGAACCAAGTTAGGTTTGAATTTTATTTTAAAATATTTATTTTTTACTTTTATAAGATCAAGTATATCTCTCAAATTATACATCAAGTTGCATTGAAATATTACAAATAGATACTAAATATATGTAAATATATTTTTGTAAAATATCAGGCAATCAAAGTTCGGAAGTATATTATTTAAATTGGTTGAAGTTTTTATTATTGTTTTGACAGATATGTTAACAAAGTGTTCTTTATTGGTTATTTTTAACCCAATCAATTTAGACATTTAATGGTTTAATTTTGGACATCAAATGAAGATTAAATAACACTTATTTATGATTTAAACTTGTGCATGAGCTTAGACTACAAGGTTATTAATGTGATTTAAATTTATTAAATAATTGAAATTCATACTTTCATATGGTATGTATGGCGACTCCAGGCTCTATGAATATTATAGTTTCAATTATCTTTTATTTATTTTTTCTAATCTTAAAATGTAGTTTTTTATTTTTAATTTATGCTTTTAAGTTTGATTAATCAGCTAAGGCTAAAGGCTTGCATGAAATTAATTATTAATTAGTTTTTTAGTTATGTCTGAAGGCTTGTTTGAGCCAATATTTTCAATTTTGTATATGGGTCAATTTTACTCACAATGATAGATTCATTAGGGTTTTTATTTAAAAAATTTAAATATTTTTTGTAAGGATAAAATATTCAAATTGAATAATATTATTGCTACGGAATTTATTCAGCTTTCGTAAGAGAGATTCTGGTATTATTTGATTATCTAACAAAGTAAATTGACTTATAAAAAATTAACTGGTTTAATATCATATTTTTTTATATTTTTCATTCACGAATTGGTATTATAGAGCGAGGAGTTCTTATTCTAATAATAATGGTGTATTGAACATGTTTCTATCATGTTATACTCTAGTTGAACATGTATCAACTTTTAAGATTTATTATTATTTTTATTATGAGTTTGTGTGATCACATTATTACAACATTCGCATCATATTAAGAGTGTTTGGCTGCGTGGTAGCTTCCATGTTTAGGTGTATAGCAGATATCACTTGTTTGGTAAGTGATAAATTATTATCTACTGTTAATGGAACTTACTAAAATTTATGGACGTATATGAGTTTCGCTAAAAGCAACTCCAAGCTATTTTACCAACATTTATGTTGTAACCAGTGAAGTTTTTGTTAGGGAGTTAAAAAGAAGTGAGTTCTCTCATGTTCTTCAAACCAATCAGATATGAGTTCATTATGTATGATGATATTTTCAATATTAATATTAGGGTTTGAGCCAATGAAAGGGTTTGAAGTGCAGTAAATAGTATTCTTAACAATGATCATATTGAAAACAATTAGTAAATAGTAGTATTCTTAACAATGATTATATTGAAAATAATTAGTGATTGTGATTTTTCAAAAGAGATTGTGATTTTTCAAAAGAAATAACAAAAGATCAAACAATTTGTAGTTTTAAGTGTTTAAATTTCTATATAGTTTAATGGATCATGAAAAAAATATTTTGTATTAAGTATTATTTATTTTATAATATAATAATAATAGTTAAATTTATAATATTTAAATTAAAAATTATTAATTCTTTTAGTTATTTTATAACTTTAATTTGAAAAATATTCTTGTAACTAAACACATTAAATTACCTTTTGTTCAATTTCAAATTCAATTATAGTTTTAATCAAATATATTTTTTTAAAATCAACTTTAACTAAAAATATTTTTTATAAAATAACTTTTTTCATATCACAACCACAATAATCATCACAATACCAAATACATTAATAATATATAAATATGTTAATCATGTCACTTCGTATTTACAAGATGAACAAGCTTATCTCTTACATCAAAAGCAATGTATTCTTCTTCTTTTTTTAAAAAATAAAAAATAAAAAATTGTAACAATGGTAAAAAAATCACAACTTTACCTCGTCAACCATCACCATTGCGACTTTTCATTGTGTATTCAAAAAAATATTATACCTTTTAGTTGCATGTTTTAAATTAATATTGTTTATAAATCATACACTCCTTCTTCTTGTATCTTTTTTTTTTTAATGAAGAATCACATCACGTCTTATCATATTAAAATCACAAATAACACATCCTCACGTTCTCATGCTCTTTTATAAGTTATTATAGCTCTTGCATCAAGAGCACTGTATTTCTTTTTTATTGGAGTTACGAATTTAAAATATTTCTGTTAAATATAATTACAACTCTATCTCATTAATAGTCGCTATGACTTTTCATTGTACATTTATTTATTATTATGTTTTTTAGTTGCATCTTTTTATTTTATTTTTTCAAGCCAGCCCAACAATCACGATTAACATAAAAAAATATTGTTGATGTATCATTTAAATACAGAAAAACTGATAATGATAA